TTGTTGCTTATTTTTCAGATGGACTTAGAAGTTTACATGCGACAGTTTCCCAAAGTTCGTATTTTACGCTTGGAGAAACGCGAGGGTCTTATCAGGGCGCGTTTGAAAGGAGCGGCAAATTCAAAGGGCGCCGTCATCACATATCTCGATTCGCACTGCGAATGCCTCGAAGGTAATGAAAACAGAATCAAAGCGATGACACAGAAGTGATGTTTGAATTTCAAAGAATCACAATGAAAAAGACGGAGGAAACAATTAATTCCCTCACAGTTTACTCACTTTGAGAGTCCGAAACACGCGAAATTTCTCTGAGAACTACCATGCATACAAACCATAAGGATTTGCTGGCCAAAGCTGCCGGTGTATTCTTATTTTTCTTCAGTCATTTTTATGCAGCTCACACAGACAAGTGACTATTTTATCGGTGAAACAATTCTTCGTACATTTTATCAATAATTTTGTAGAAATACTATGATTTTTCGATGTTTCAGGTTGGATGGAGCCACTTTTGGACCGAATAAAAAGGGATCCGAAAACAGTGGTGTGCCCGGTGATTGATGTGATCGATGATAACACCTTCGAATATCACTATTCAAAGGCATACTTCACAAATGTTGGCGGATTTGACTGGTCGTTACAGTTCAATTGGCATGGTATTCCTGAAAAAGACCGCGTTGGCCGTAGGCATATCGATCCTGTCAGGTATGTGGAAAACGTTCTATCGTCGGATTCAAGAAATTTTTCCTTCCTATCATACTCTGAATATCTTGCGGTTAAATCATTTGATATAAATGCAAAAAATGCATCAGCTCCTATTTTTATACTTGAAATCGGAAAATGCCTCACTGTAATCTAGTACTGAAAGCTTTTGGGACGGATTTGCTCAAACAGAGACATCGCGAAGTAGTAAAAAGCTTTATCAAGTGCTTTTGTCGGTAGAACTTCTAAGCTGGTAATTCCTTCTGAAGACGAAGTGTCAGGCTCGGCAGCGGACTGACTATTGGATGTGACAGATTTGGCAGAAGAACAGGAGGAATTGGCACTTGCCTAATGGGGGAACCAGACTAGTTTTATGCATAATTCAAATACTCCATGTATCGAATGGACCGTTGAGGTGCGAAAAAGCTTATAGACAGATGTGGGAGAACGAAAGAAAAAAAAAATTGAAGGGGCAGGGCATTGGGAAATGGGGTGCCAGATTACCAAATCTGTAGATTTTTCAAGTTAAATGTTAACTGTACATGTTCTCTTTTTCGCTTTGTTTATCGGGATGCTATGTAATAATTTTAATTTTCATCGCAGAGCACGAATTTTGCGATAATCATCAGTTGTGTGGTAAGGGTACTGTACTGATGATGAACCCTGTCATGCGTACTAAATGTCAGGCATGTTTCCACTCATCGCGTTTTTATAAATTTTAGCTCTTCGAACCTTAATATTTAGTGTTTTCAACTCTCTTCTTTCCTCACTTTTATCGTCCTCTCTTCCCTTTCAGCTTCCCTCACTTTCTTTACTCATTCCCTCTTCCCTTTCAGTTCTTACCTTTTGTTACTCATTCCCTTTTCCCTTATCTTAGCCCTGAAACATACTTCCGTTTTTTTCTTCCTAATTTACTCATCTCGTTACCCAAGCTACAAACTCGACTGTAATTTCTCTATTTTTCATTTTTATTCATTGTTAACGTGATAGCGTCTGATCAGAATAAATTTGAATCTATTTATTTCCAACAGAAAATTGTTACTGATGCGAATTAGGGCGTATTTCAGGACTCCAACGATGGCTGGTGGTCTGTTTTCCATCGATCGTGCTTTCTTCGAAAGAATCGGCACCTACGATCCCGGCTTTGACATCTGGGGTGGCGAAAACCTCGAACTTTCATTCAAAGTTTGTACATTTCATTATTATCATAATATAAAAGAGCAGCGAGCCTATAGTTATGTAATTTCTTGGCGACAAAGTGTCTTCCTTGTGCAGTTTTGTTCCTGCACACGATTATTTCGCATCTGCTGTTGGCTACTGTTGTATTCTAGTAAGAACGACTTAGCCACGTAAAAATTACTCTGAATGAATTCAGCTGGTGTCTTAAATCCAACGCCGTATTTGATAAAAAATGCGGTGACGTCAGCGCCCAGAGGCACAGGAAGAGTTTGCTTGGTAGGCGAATTGCAGGTGCTGGAATGTCGGGACTTTATTTAAACAGATACTTGTATTTAAGTCTTTTACATACGTCCTTCGTATTTTGTTTCATCTGTGATTTTCGAGCTCCTCCTTCAACTTTAGTCTGATGAAACAGTGAATCTACGTTCTGGCTGTAACTCTCACCGTGTTTCTTTTCCAAAACAGTATTTTTATGGCCGTGGAAATTTTGGAGCGCATTTGGCTCACTCAAGAAGCTTATCAACAAAACATTTGTTGATAAATGCAATAAGTTTTATTACATTATTAGTAGTATTCAAAGAGCATAGCTTTTCTAGACTTGGATGTGTGGCGGCACTTTGGAAATCATTCCTTGCAGTCATGTTGGCCACGTTTTCCGGAAGCGTTCACCATATAAGTGGCGTTCTGGTGTCAATGTCCTGAGAAAGAATTCTGTTCGTCTAGCTGAAGTCAGTTTTCCAGATCTCAACTTACCATTTCTTTCATTTAATCGACTTTTTACCCATATTTTCTTTAAAATTTTTGATAAATTTTCGGTGCTACCTAGTCTGACTACGAGTGCTCGTTGAGTTTAAGGAATGATTTTTACTGAGTCTTTCGCTTTTATTGTTTTTAGCGTTTTAAGAATTACGAAAAAAAGCTCGAAGAAATTAATGCGACAAAAAAGTGCCACATTAATTTCCTCAATCTCATGAGCAGTAAACTTTTAGTGCAGGTGGGTGTGGGTACATCGTGTTAGTGATGTTACTAGGTGCTTTCACATGCAAAGCGTAGCAATGCCGGGTCCTTCGATTCTGAGCTGCATACCTGCCGCTTGTTGACCCGTTCAGAAGTTACTCAGTTTTGGTTTTTTCATAGTAATAATGTATTATTCTAAAAAAAAATGCGTTTGAATATCCACGCTTGGCGACAGGAAGTGACATCAACTTTTCTTAAAATTTTTTAGGTCTGGTTGGACGATTACAAGAAGTACTATTACGAGAGGATCAACAATGATCTGGTAAGATGATTGCTTCAGTGGGAATTCAAAAAGCCGTTAAACAATAGCCAGGCACTATAGAGTCTGTGTCTGGGTGCCATATGCCCCAAGTGCTAGAAGGAAGGCACTGGGATTGATAGTAGTATTGTGGTTGATACGTTTACGATTCAAGACACTTGAAGATAGTGAAGACGGAGAGCTGAATTCCCTCTCGACCCATATTCTCTGAGCGGCGCACCCCTTATAGTTTTTTTTCTGGTGTAAGAGAGCTATAAAATAATCAGCGGCTGGAAGGGAGCGGAAGGGGGTGTTTTTGTAGGGTTTTTGTGGATAAAATATGAGGAAACATGATTCATTTGATATCTAGGGCGATTTTGGCGATGTGAGCGACAGGAAAGAATTGCGACGAAAATTACAGTGTAAATCGTTTAAATGGTATTTGGACAACATATATCCGGAACTGTTTATTCCAGGCGAGGCAGTTGGAAAGGGCGAGGTACTTGTTTTAACTGAACTCTGTCTTTTATATCCGTTGCTTGTCAGGTGTTTTTTAGTTGCTCTCCTCTTCTGCTTTAACAAAAGATCGCATGAAGTTTTGTGCGGAAGTTTTATTCATTTTTTTTTTTTTCAAAATTACCGGGGTTTTATTTTTGCACACTTCGTTTTTTTTTCTCTTAATTTGCTTTAGTTTTGAGTAGTGAAAAGAGAAATTGATGTTCGTCTTACTTTTGAATGTAACTTGCCTTGGTTTGAAGCTGTGACCACCTCCGTATCAACAGCTGCCACCAGCTGCCGACGGCTTCCTCTTTCATAGATCAAATACAGTCATTTCGATGGCAGACTTGTCTGCCTGACACATGTTACCTTATCAGTTCATCATAAAAACGAACGAACAGATCGTGGAAGGATTGTTTTTAACGCCGGCAGAGTGGAGCCCTCGACCTAATGCACGACAACAGCGCCACCTTTCATTTGCTAGCAAAGTGCATTTTCGCAACTAACTGTGCACCGGGAAGAAATTGAACCATTCTGCATCCGAATGCCACATGCCACCACTGTCTCTTATGGTCCAAGTTCAGTATAGCAGTCTTCCAAAGCGGAATACACCTTTCTTTTTTTCACTACCTCCCGTCGGCTGTAATTTTTACTTCGAAACAAGCGTCCAAATGAAGCAGGAGACTGGGCTGTATGTGGATCTTCGCTGAGTGCTTCTGAGCCATTCTTGAGCTTCTGGGATCTCTGATATTCAGTTGTGGCTTTACAGCGTGGATTACTAGCCTCCTCTGCTCTTCCTTCCCTGTCCTGCTTCTTTCTACATCTTTGCCTTTTGCGGCAGCTTCTCTGCTGTCGTTTTGCAGGTTTTCCATGACACCAATGCTCGCTGGTCTTTGTGCCACGACTTTTTTAGCGAAGTTAATTTTGAATATCGCTTTTTTTGGTTTTTTGGGGCTTTACGCACAGAAACTTTATTTCAACTTATAGCCACATTGCACATCCACTATGGTCTAACCGTTGTGATGGGTACCGAGTAACTGCTGTGTGTTTTCATAACTCATATGTATTTTTATGTATTTTTCCGAAATGAAGTTACTTACCTACAGTTTTCTGATAATTTTAAAAACCCCTTGATCTTGGAATGAGGGAGCCCTCTGGCTTGGTTGCTGTAGGAGAAAGCCTTGTAACATGAACTGTGGTCTAATTAACTAACATATTTGAGCGATCCCTTGTGCAGCTTAGGGTTCAGTTTCTTGAAAAACAGGGAAACTGGAGGATCACTTTCAGATACGTAATCAAGGCGCAGTGACGAACGATGATCTCCTTCATTGTTTGGATAGTGAGGTGGGCGATGACGTTCAAAAACCGGTGGGAGCATATCCATGCCACAATAGTGGTGGTAACCAGGTTCTTTCTTTTCAAGCGTTCCGTTTAGTCAGAGAATGATTGCGCCAAATGGGAAAGAGTTTTTTTTCTAAGGCAAATATTGTTTGGGCGGGAAAATTTCGCGCATCACTGCACAGTCGCTTAAATGTCTTTTAGAATACAGTTACTCGGTATTGTGTTGTTTTTGTTGCCTGCAATTTATTTCCTTTGTTGTTCAAGCACAGCGTGTTTTTGTTCTGCCTTTTCGATGCCCATTTGTATTGATTGTGTTGCTGTGGTAGTTATTTTGCTTCGGTCGAGTACCACTTGTGAAAACTTTATTTAGTAGCACTTCCATGTCATACATCATCGCTGCTCTGGGAGCCTCTTATTATTTCGGAATATTTCTCCGTGTATCGTTCTCATTATCACTTATTAATAGAATTTAACAGGTGCCATATAAGTGCTGTCAACTCAAAAGCCAAAACCATCTTTGTAAAGCTCTCTGTGAGGGGTGCAGACACCCGACAACTAACCCCAGCCACTCCTTTTGAGGATTGCTTAGAGGGAGTGCTCAAAAAGAGGTCTGCGATGGCCATGTCAGTAGCAATTTATCATCAAAACGAATGAACGGACATTGAGGGACGGCTTGTTCCGTCAACCTATTCGAACCCTCATTCTGTTGCCTAACTGAGTGCAGTGCTAGTTCCGACTGCGCAATATCCACCGACTGACGCACATAATGAAAAATAATTCTTTGCCAAAAAACTACTCGTTTTTTGCTCAGTAAACATCCTGTATCCATGCAGATTCGGAATCAAGGAGGTGGAGCGAAGAACTGTTTAGATTGGGTACATGGGCAGCAAAGGGCAACGGTGGGCCTGTATTGGTGTCATAAGCAGGGCGGTAATCAGGTATATTTGATTGCTTGCCTACAGTAAATTGTAATTTTTTTTTCCTATTTTCATTGTTTCTCTTGGCTTCAACAAATTTTTTTTGTCTTTTCAATTATTTTTTTGTCCAGGAAAATTCGATAAAATGTTGATAGGGCAGTTATTTTTCTTTTTTTTTTTTCCATTTTGTCTTTAAAAGTATACCATCCTGGATTTTTTTCGGGTGCAGTGTACATAATTTTGTTTTATTGCTAGATGAACTGGCCCCTATTTCTTGTTTTAATTGTATGGAGAAGTTTAACTTTGTAGCCACGTGATCGTTTTCAGGCGTATCTTCGGGTACCGTGCTTCCGAAGTCCAGCACTTTTGGGACTTCCACACATTTAGCTCTTTTACACATTCCTGCTCCTGTTGACCATTGTGCAGAAACTGAAGAAAAGTTGAAGACTTGTATTATGTCGGGCGCTTTGCTTTAGAAGAATGAAGGAAGAAACTGAAGAAAAGTTGAAGACTTGTATTATGTCGGGCGCTTTGCTTTAGAAGAATGAAGGAAGCAAACCAAATGCAATGATCACCAACACAGTCAGACCGCTTCGCGATTCATCTTGTCCAGCTCAAGACGAGTCACTAAGTAATGGAGTGATTTTAAAACAATGGTGGCACCGTGGATTTCAACGAATTTGAATCTCCTTAAGTGTAATGGATAAGAGCGATTTTAAAACAAATTTCCGTACACCGTGAGACATGTGACTGGAACCAAGACTGTTCGGGAATTGGAGCATTATGTTACATATATCCCCTTTCTTAATACTTCTCTGTTTCATTGAGATACCATTTCTTGCTGGACATTCAAGCGGCTGTACAGTTTTTGCTAATTTTTTTTTAATATCATTGGTGCTTATTCAGCCTTTTGCACCTTTATATTAAGGAATTATTATCTTGCGGTATTGGTGCTAGAGGAGGATCATTTTCAGTACTGGATGCTTAGTAAAGATGGTGAAATAAGAAGAGATGAATCGTGCATCGATTATGCGGGTGCTGATGTGATGGTGTACCCATGTCACGGAATGAAAGGCAACCAGGAATGGAGATATATTCCGGATGTTAGTACAGGCCTCTTGTTTTCCATGGATTTCGTCGTTGTGGTCTAGAAATTGTGCATTTCGGGCTTATCACATTAAGATAGGACAGGGAACGGGAGGAAAGGGGAGAGGATGACGTTGCTGAAAACTTGAAAAATCCGGGAAAGATGAAACTACTAAAAACGAAAGATATATACTACCTATGGGAGGCAGTAAAGAAAAGATGGGTGTATTCTAGGAGTGTTGTGCCTCTCTGAATATAGCTTGTGAATAAGGATTTAGTTACAGCACCAATAAAATATAACAAACATTTGAAAAGTGAAGCAACGGCGCGAGCATCGATAGCCGTGACAGTGGGGCACCTTGCACAAAATGTGCACTTGGTGAGGCGCACTGGCCTCACACCTCCACTGAATGCTACACACACCGCAACGGACAAAAACATGAAGATCACTGGTATCTCTCGCCAGTGCGGTGGTCATAGATCACAAGGAGTACCTAAGCTGTATCCCCCAGGAGTACTTTGAATATCTGGAATAGCTGCTAATTCGTAGTCCGAACCAGCAACTTCTTATCGGCTATGATTTTGAGCTTTTCGTATCCACAACACCACATACGCTGGAGCTAAAGGGATGGCACATCATACCGAATCGTTCCTACTACTGCTTCGAACAATTCCTAAAAGTAATGAAAATCATTTTAGAAGAATCGAATACTTCATGTTATAACCGGCAAATGTCTGGAGATGACGAAAGATGGCGCTAAGCTAAAGATGAGCGATTGTGATGAAATCAATACATATCAGCAGTGGGTGATGCAAGATTTCAACGAAACACAGGCTCGAAAATATGGGCTATTATGAACTGGTTTCTTCGAGGGTTTGTTTGGGTAAATTTGAAAGCATGACTTGGAAACCCAATGATTGTGTGGTGATGTATAACTGGAATTCTATTATCGTATGGTTTTCTCCAAATGAAACATTAAGAGCAGAGATAATGTACTGGCCTAGATAACTTATACACCGATGTACATGTCCGAGAACAGTCTGTGTTTCATCCCTTAGCCGTAAAGACAGACAGAGAACGAGTAAAGAAAAGGGCGTCACGAGAGGGAGAAAAAAGTTGAGAAGTAGTACAAATATGATGGGTAGAGTGGGGAAATAGCAGGAGGCAGGTATGTGAGGGAGAGTGAAATTTGAACCCTGGAGATCTTCTGTTTCCATGACAAAACTCCTCTTTTATATGTACAAATATTGTCGATTGTTGATTTCTTTTGCAGATTTTGTTATGTTGTTCATATGCCTTTTTCTACACACTTTCATGCCTTTTTAAATGCGTTCCTGTAAAGTGTATGTATGGACGAGTGTTCGGAGGTCTCCTGCTTTTCTAGTTGATTTTTTATTTTAAATTGGAATTTTCTTTTAATTTCCTGGTCAATTTTCAATGATTTTTTCTTTTTTTAAAGATATACAGTATGTGGATTATATTAACGTGTGAGGGAATTTTTCATTTCATGGGCTATTAATCCCTAGAAAAACGCGGGATTTTTTGTAGACATTAGAAAAGCGGAGAAATTTATATGCATGTTTGAGATGAGAATAAAGCTAACACATAGAAATGCTGAGGATTAATAATTCAGAAGACAAATTTTTTACAGTAAAAAGATATCTTTTCGCATGTTAATATATTTTACGTATAAAATGCCTTCAGCTGACTAGTTAAGATTTATGAGCTGTAAAAAGTCTTGTTCCTTTTTAAAAATTTATAGCTTTTAGCTTGGAATGACTGCAAAAAGGTCCAAAAATGTAGGTAATTTTTCTGTAAGCTTCGTAGCGTGATATTTCTCTCTCTAGCATGTCATCTCTACGTCACTTCGCTATGGCTGTGTCACTTACCAACGAGCTGTTTTTTCGTTTCTTTGTTTTCTTCTCCTTTTTTTTGTTTAGTTAAAAAATCTTTAGAGGGCCTAGTAGCTGCTTATAATTTGGGCTTAGGATTTCTGCGATATGCAACTTTTCTACGTATGAGAAATCGCTTTCAATGAAAATAGTAACTTAACTCTCTGTCGACTTTTTTGATGTTCTTTGATTCTGAAAGAAAGCGGTTCCGAGATTCGGTTATCAGCTGGGACAAAGAGGCGTGATTCTAAATTTAACTGTAACGCACGAAAAAATCGACTTTACACAACATTTTCCTTGCAAATGCTTTAAAAATTGGAAATTTTCAGGAAAATTTTTTGAAAGTTTTTTGATATGCATTTGTTCTTGCACAGCTTTGGACAGATATGGATTCGGTTAGGTCGTGAAGATTTAGTAATTAAATTATTGTTCGATATACAATCTATAATATTTAGTTCTCTATCCCTGCTGTTGGCAACTTTTACAGTTGTTTTGACCTGTGCTACATCGCTTAGTGATCAGTTTTGATGATTCCCATTTTGCCTTCTCAGATTTGGGTTATTTAACAGCAATAATGCTACTGTTAATGTCGGCGGTGTGTTTGCCGTTGTACCCAAAGTTATTTGTGTCTTCGTTAATAATCTTATCCACTTTTCACTGTGGCGGGCGATTTAGGTAGAATTTTATTGACAACTGCTTCAATTTAAAAAGTTTAATCGTCGAATTGGATATTTTGAAGCGAAATTAAAGCAACTATGAAAATTCCAGGTTAAGCATACGCTAAAACTAGTTTTTTTTTTAGTTGATTTTTGTATTCACTATTTCTTATTTGTGGTGTTTTCTTACATTTTTAGTTTTTTTTTTCTCTCGCATATCTTTTCGGTTGTTTGTTTTAAGTCAGTTGCTTTACTTGTTTTTGATTGAAGTTTTCCTCTTTCGGCGTTAGTAGACGTAGTTGTGTGTGTGTGCGTGTGTATGTATGTATGTGTTGGTATTGCTGTGTGTGTATGTGTTCGTCTTGCAGACTTTAGATTTAATTGAATTTTAAATTTGTATTGGAAAAATATAAAGTTCCAAATTTTCAGTATAAGTTCAGTTAAAATTTAAATCTGTACCAAAAAATTTGAACGAATTTACATTTTTCCAGCACATACTTGGTTCTTTTAAACAAATTTTTCTAAATAAATTTGGTTTTTTTTAACGGCTGAGTACTTCTGCTTCTCATAGCGAAAAAAAATTTTCGACTTTGGACTTGAGCTGTGGTAGTTTGTAACAGTTGTGATTTGTTTGCTGGAATAGTTGTGATTGTTAAAATTCCAAAAATATTGAGGTTATTTTTTAGTGTTTGTAGATGGCTTGTGTTCGATGAATAGCATCATTTAAATCTTCTCATTATTATGCTTTTATCATCACATAACTTCCCGGAAAACATTGCCAAGTTTAATCCGATGCCTTTCGATTTTTTTTTCTTTTACATGCATTATTCAGTAATCTTCAATAATTAACCGGTTCTTGTTTAGAATAATTTATTTACTAATAAAATTTAACGATGCATTTGGCTTTGATGTTAAGCTGGTGAGAAATTAAACAGAAACTCCACTGACGGAGAATTCCCGCGAAAAACCGGTAATTGTCGAAGTAGGTCATGTGAGGGAAAATACTAAGTAGCCAACGCAAAGCCACAGTAGTTATGTTTGAATTTCCATACTGTTAAAGAAAACCATGGTGAATTTGACAAATTTTGAAACTTTTCCTAGAAATATATGAGATTTTATTAAAATATTTAGAGAAAAGGTCTTTTTGAGAATTCTCGGAATCTTTGAGGGGAAAATAGTTTTTCCGTAGAAGACCTCTTTTTACCTCAAATGTAAATATGTTTCATGAGTTTTATGAACTCTACTGTGTTGCTGAGGTATGAGGTAAAAGCAAAGCATTCATATATGCTCTGTTTGCTGGACTGGTATATAGTTTAGTGTGATATAACAGCTGCTATTACATCGCCTTTCTCTCTATTTCTGCCATTAGTTTTTTCTTTTTCGAAACTGAAGAAATTTTCGAACGTCCGAAAATGCATCGTTAAATTTTCAGTTGCCTTTGACCGAGTGACTTATAAAGATCGTGCAGTTTCGTAACCGTTGGTACCTATTATTGAATACCCGTGCCTTTGTTTTTGTTGATTTTTTCCGAAAAATAAAAAATCCCAGACAGCTGACCGGTGTCCTAGAGAACATGTCATCAATTATTTGACTTTCTCCTTTATATTGAATAAGTAGGCTTATTACCTGGCATTCATTCTTAGTGACATCGAATTAATCAGTGAAGCGAGCTAATCTTTTAAAGATTTGCTTACGTGATAAATTTGCATACAGACATTTAGAAACATCGAACTAATCAGCCTCTATTTCATGAACTCTGCAAAACTCGGGGGGAGGGGGCGGCACCGTCGCAGCGGCTATCAGCTGTTTGGTAATGTGTTTAGAACTGGACCGCTTTTGAGTACGGAGGGATTTTAACTTCTAGGTAAACAAAGTTATTAGCAGAAATGAATGCTTGAAATACTTGGATCAACTACAATCATGGTCTGAACCTTCCAATATATATATGTATATGTATATATATATATATAT